TTTGGAATATTCTAACATTTCTAGTTCCAAAGTGCTTTTATACGGCATTACCACTTAGGATTCACTTCAGCTGATGTATACAAGTACGTCTGCATTCCTATAGCTGTGGCAGACATTCAGCCTACTGCACATGCAGCTAGATTCACCAGCTGCCCAAGAACACAGCACTGTAACTAACATTTGGAGTCTTTATTTAGTAAGCTGTTACTTGAACCAAACAACAACCTTTTGATGACCATTCGCTGAGACTGAAAAGGTACCTGCCGTATTCCTGACATAACTGGCAAACTCTGCTCACGAGGCTTCGAGAGGAAACAGTAAAATCAGGACACGGGAGAACACAAGCCATCAAAAATCAACTGGAACAAGCCTCAAAATTCACTTTTATTCCTCAACTATGTCTGATAACAGCCAGTAATAAAAACTTCTGACTTATGCTGCTCTAAATTAGACAAACACCAGGCTAACCCTGCAGCAATTTCTTTTTTCACCTCCTACAACAGGCAATGACATTGATTTGATTTTTTCCTCGGGAAATGCTGCCATCTAGTGACTGCACGTTGCTATACACGTCATATCACTACTAGAGAGAAGACCTACTTTGTATTCGTGTTTCCTGAGAAAGAAAAGCGTGACCGATTATTCAAAAACAAGAGTTACAATTGCATAATCATATTAAAGAAGGAAAAAAGGGAATTCACACACACAAGATGCATTTAAAACTGTTCAGATAAAATGCATTTATTAATGCTAACAAACCAGGAAAGAAAATATCCTATTTTAATAAAAAAAGGAGGAAAACAAGGCACTCAAACTGATTTTCTCCATTATGCTACAATCCTGTTATGACTTAAAATTCTGTTGTCCCTGCTACAGACTCAGATTTCTCATCTGCACAAGAATTACAAGTTGAGTAGAACAAGCGTTAGCATTCTATTGCACGTGGGCTCTACAGCCCATCTTCTGCACATCCTACCAGCCTTCGGGTTTACGGGACAAGATAGGCATAATTTGTGATTAAATCACGCCTTTGAAAAGGTGGGAGACAGTTTGCTATTCAGCAAAGGCAGCGGCTGGTCGAAGATTAGAAAGACCAAGATCAAAAACTGATCAAAAGATTCATGTGTTTGACTGACGCACATGAAAACACTTTGGGTTTAGAGCGCTCACGCAGGAACAGCAGCAAACACGTGCAAAACTCATACTTGGTAAACCAGGAAACTAACTTCGGCAAAAAGGCCCATCGGATCTGCTCTTTGTGATATTTTCATTCATCATTTAAACTGTTAAGATCTTAAAGGCAAAAAAAGGATACCTTCAACTAAGTACCTATCCATCAAGCTCTTTATTACAACGCTTGAATTTTTCAAAGCCAAGAAGATGCAAGAACAAAAGGTCTGGCTTCTTTGAAGTCCCTTGCTGTCTTCTGTCACTGCTTTCCTTCCACTGATGCTCATTTTTCCACTACAAGTGCTGTACATCTTACATAAACAATGGCAGAACTGTGCAGTAGTCTAACACTAGAAACTTGCCAACAGTTAGAAGTAAATCTTTCAGAAGTTACTGAAGTAGAACTTTAAGTGAGGGAGGTTTTTTAAAAAAATTAAAGAGTTCAAAGCTCTTATCTAAATACAAACTACACAGTCTACAGAACCTTTTTTTATCAGCCTGCAAGTACAAAAACATTACATACACTGTCAGAAGTGTGAGCTCCAACGGTTTAGAAACAGAAGTATAAATTGCACTAACCCTTTAGAATATCTTATAAATTTGTAATTTATATCAACTTTGAAGTCTGTGATGACAGGAATCAGTCCTATATTATACAACGAAATCAAAGGTGTCGTGGTTTAGGTGCTCGTCTGCGGTTACGTAGGAAATGGTCTTTCAAGAAATCATTCTACAAGATGATAGTTACAACAAACGATTAAGGCTGAAATCCAGATCACTTACACCCGGGACTCAGCTGCGGTGCTGCATCTAGCTCTCCGTAACAGCATAACAGGAAACCGAGGTCTGACAGCCCTGAATGGTGCAGCAGCTGAATTCACCCCTAGATCTCAAGTATCGCAGTAGTAGGTTGTCTGAATATGAGGTACCTCCCTTTTTTTTTTCTATTTAATTTAATTTTTTTAAAATAATCTCTTCTACCAGTTGTGTGGTAAAGAGAACATTCAGTAAAGGCTCTTGGCTTAAAAACTGAAACATAGACTCTTAAATACTGCTCCAACTCTGCATGTTCAGCAACATCCGGCTCAAGTTACTTCCCACCCGGATCAGAATAAGGTTGGGAGAAAGAAGAGGTTTTTTTTCATTTCTGATTTTATAAACATGCTGGAACATTACTCATGTAATCATTCTTGAATGCTATGGTTAAGTTCATTTTGAAAAATGAAGACGCAGTTGCTGACTTTAATAAATTTTGAATAGCTATGGCTTTAATCAGTAGGCTAATTCATTAAAAACCTAATTAGAAATGCAATCAGGTTCCAAAGTTTGTCCAACTATGTTAAATCTATTTCAACAAAAAGGAGTGCAGCTATTCTTAAGGGACAATATACCTATCAGTCATTTATAGGAATAAAAAAAAAGCAATGCAGTCAAACTCATTTTGCAAAGGTTAATATAGTCTGAAAAGCATTTATCCCCAATTTTCTCATTTTCAGGACATGCTGAAGCCCTAGAGAGTCCAAAAATAATTTTTTAAAAAGCTAAGTATTATTCCTGTGACACTTTCAGAGATCAAGTCCTGTCAAACGCAAAAAAATAGGTTTTGGGAAGGATGGAGTTCCAAAAACTTAAATAAATGAATATTGAAAGCACATAGCATTCTCAACATCAGCTTAAGAAGTTATACCCCAGCGAAAGCTGACATCAGTAGAGAACAGAGAAGAAAACCTTAAAAGTAATGTCTTTTGCTTCTAAAAAGCTAAATTTCACAAGGTATCTTTTTGTAACTAAAGGCATCAAGGACTCAAACTAGTAATTATAAAATCACATACTGGAAATATGTATTAATGTTATTTCATTAATCATTTAGTGATAATACATCTCTACTCATAGCCATATTCTCTACAAAAAGAATCTCAAAATCTTACAGTCATAGAGCAGTTTGGGTTGGAAGAGGCCTTAAAGACCATCTAGATCCAAATACCCTGCCGTGGGGTTGGTGCCATGACACCTTCCACTAGATAAGGCGGCTCAAAGCCTTATCCAACCCAGCCTTGAACACCGGCATTCAAAGTGTTCACTAATTCCCACTAATGTCTGCTGGATGAGTGAAGGTCACTTAGCAGTTTCTTCTTGAAGCTTTGCTTCTCGAAAAGCAAAACTATCTCCACCATTCAAACACTTCCTTAACAGGATCTTTACATTTTTCTTATGTTCATGTGAAAATTAAGTAGGCAGGTCTACTGTCAGTCACCAAAACAGTGAAAGCATCTTGAGAAAGCTAATTAAAGCTAAGAACAAACACTTTCACCCCCTCTCCAGATTATTTTTCCCCGAAAGAAGGATCACAGTATGTTCTGTTATGGAAAACAGAAAGCAAACTTACTAATCTATAAAATCTTCTTACATATCCAGACTGGGCATGTGCTTATTAGCAAGCCAACACTGCAGCATTTTAGGTCAGTCTGTATCATGGATCACTAACTCTTCCCACGTATTTCAGTATTCACTGTGCTTGTACCACGTCACTCGTTACACAAAAGGTGCTCATGGCGAATTCAATTGCTGTAATTGTTCCCTGAAAGCTGAATCACCTTCTCTGAGACCGTTTCAGTTGCTGAGCAGAAGCACACAGTGGTGGAATCCCAACTCTCCTATGGTCCTCCTACGAAAAGACTGAACGACAACTGAAATGGCACACAGCACAACTGAGCGAGGCTGTAACCTCTGCATCTTCCCCACCTGGTCTCAACTTCCCAGGCACAAGTTAGTTATGAGAGGAGGGGAAACAAAAATATAGGTTATGGAGGTGGAGAAGATGGGGCCCTTTTGTTACTAACACACCATAATCCCATGGTTGACTCAAAATGCCTACCATCGCCAATCGTTCCCTCTTACTGCTAATTAAATAGTGTATTTAAATTACCTTAAAACTTATCTGTAAATTTCACATAAGTATTTTTCATATTCCCTATATACATATAAAGACCTAATTTTTGCCATTAGTAGAAAATTTTGATTTAAACCTCTGAAACTGAGATTTCTTACAACTCTTACACAAGCTAGGGCAGTTGGGTTAGGGTTTTTTGTAGGTGTTTTGAGGGGAAGGTGGGTTTGGGCAAGGGAGTTGTGGTTTTGTTGAGGTTTTTTTTCCACCTTCAAATGCATCTATGAAAAAGTATCAACCTCATCTGCAATAAATAGACAAAAAGGAAAAAAAAATATCTAACAATGTTTGATTTGGAATAATAAATACCCAGAATTTAGCTGCCTAAATTCTTCTCTCTAGTGGACCCTTTTGGCAGGCTTAACTGCATGCTTCCATGCTTCTGCAGGTTCATTTTCCTTTGCAGTTTCTCTCATCCTAAATTTCTTAGGACTGTATAACATGATTTGAGGACATTTTTAATGATCCTGTAAAGTATTTCACTGTAAATTATTAGTACATATTCAACGTTACTTACCCTAGAATATATTTCTCATGGGGATTTTACACAAGCAAAGAATGCTGCCTCGACACAAGAACGGAATAGTGCACAAACATGTTCGGGCACTGGGCTGATACGCAATTAAGCAAGTTGAATCTGTTTATACCAGGAAGACTATCCCATTGCTCTACCAGTTTGAGGCACATTTGTGAAACCTGAGATAAAACACTATTTAAAACTGGTTACCAGTCCCATTCCAGTAACACTGGCTCAGAAAGACAGAATGGAAGTATGAAGTTAAATTAGCATGCTAACAGTGAAATAGGGGGTTCTGGCACACACACACACACACAACCTCAGGCAAAGAAAAAAAAAAAAATATATATATGCAGAAGACATTACCAGTAGCATTGGGCATTATTCTCCAGTAGCTTCTCCACCATGTGCTCCACTCTTACAAACCAGCTTGGCACAGCTTTGTATATCAATGGAGTATCTGACCTGTAGAGGGAAGGTGACGGGGAAGGGAGTAAAACAAACAAAAACGTTTTCAGTGCTACGTTATTTATAAAATACTCTTTAAAATGTATTTTTGTGCACAACAGTCCCCTTGCCACAAACTGAATTCAATTTTCCTGAAATATTATCACAGTTACAAAGGTTGAGTTTTGTTTTGTTTTTTAAATTACACAAACTGTTACACTTGTGTGAGCTACAATTTTAAAATCAAATCCTAAAAAAAAATTGTAAAAGCCATCAAACCCAGTAATTTAAGGAACTTCAATAGCAAGAGAAATCATGAGAACATTCAAACAATGCTTGAATTTGAAATTTATGTTCCTACATAGTACAATGATATGAACTTCAGTAACTATTAAAATGAGTCATATTTAAGTCTTCGACATGAGCTCATTCTGTATCATTTTTCATGTGTATATCAACCTGAAAAGCCAGAAAACATTATGCTTTGTCTTTATTATCTGCATTTAATAGAATAAAAACAAATCACAAAGATGAAGTAACAGCACCCAGGGTTAACTATGTACATGTCACATTCTAGGAGGAGAAGGAAAGAGAGATCCAAATAAACATGCAAAAGTAAGAAGTTAAAGACATCTTAATACATTCCTTACTTGAACATTCAATGAAAGTCCTACAAAACCCATATGGGATGGAAGGAGATTGAGAGCTTGGGATTGCTTAGAAACAACAACACTACAAGGTAGAGTGTACAGACTGATAAATTCTCCAAATTACCTAGTCAAATTAGTATCTCTAAGCATCTGACTGCATTGTGTCTCAACCCAGTCTCTTATTTGCCAGTTCCATAACACAACTGCTTAAGGTCTCGAGAGGTTGTTCGAATGGCATGCATCCTTCTAAAGGATCTGGTAATCAAAGAGTGGGTAAAGTCATTATAGGAGAGTTCAGACATTTCTAATCCTTCACATCCATCCTATTACTCCAACTTGAAAAAGAAGATTGAGCCCTCAGGGAAGGAATCTCTCCATGGGTACAGAGCAGCTTCAACAACACTGGGACAAGCAGCTTATTCTCCCTTAATATCAATCCACTCCACAAAATGTTTCTTAAAATACTACTTTGTGTAAGTCACTTTGCCTCAGAACTTGGAAATATACTTGCTCAACAGCAGTTGGCAAGCTAAGACCCTGAGAAACTACCATTATCTCCTACATGCAGGCATTACTGTAAACGACCCATCTTAAAAGTTTAATTCATTTTATTTATATCCATAGCAAGGCCTTGTACAAATGCACAACCTACTGGTTATTATGATGCAAATTAAAATTGCTACTGTGGAAGCACTTCCTAAAACTACACCTGCCTGACCAACAAAGAAAATCCACAGCAAAGGTTGTTCAAACCTGGAAAACTGCACTTACTTTGCACAAAGCCCACTAATAAGAAAACCATATCACTTCTCTTAATACTGTATTTCAGAAGATATTTCCTTTTAACTATGATCTATACATTTCAATCTGTATCCTTTAAAATTTAAAGTGTCTATAACCTTACAGGAAATGGCAAGAGCTCAAAGCAATAATAATGTAGTAGTGTTTTAGTTATTAAATGCAAATGCACTAAGCTAGGAAGTTCCGCTTCTCAAATTTAAGTCCTAACACCTAAAAAAGGGCATAGTTCAGTTAACTCATCACACAGCAGCAAGATGGCAGTAAAAAAATAAAGCATTCTGCAAGTTACAGGGTACTCCAGAAGTATCTTAGTTTCACTAAGCATCTTATTTCAGATGTCCTGAAGGATGATGAATTGCCATCATATATAAAATCCTGAGTTACTGGAAACAAGAAGAATAAAGCTTGATAATAACAGATTCTCACATCGCCTAAACGTATTGCAGGAAGAACGCTGGGACAATAAACCAGTACCCAACCTCTACCAGGACTACGCAGCTGACAGATGGGGGTGATGGAAGACAAGCTTTAGTGCAGAAGTAGCTTCAGACACAAAGCATCAATGAAAAAGAGACAAGCAGGTGAAGTCATGATCATTTCCCAGGCTTTCAACCTAACACTAACTTTACAATACCTGATAACCATTCCCATTCCAAAGCACCCACAGAGCACTGTTCCCCCCTACATGAAGGTGGTAAGAAACGGGAGATGGCACAGTTGCCCTGAATATTTTCTTTCTTCTAGCTGTACTGCCAAGTAGTGTCTCGGCAGGAGATAAAACAGAACAAGGTACTGAAAAATCTGTCCAACTAGTAACATCTTACGTGTTTCTGCCCCTCATGACTGGCGAGAGGGTTAAGGAAAACCAGATTCAATTCTTTGCTGTAGAATCAAATGAAAAACACCCATTACTGGGTTGGTTTTTCCCTCAATACAACAAGACAAGGGAAAAGCCACCCACACAGACCTAAATCAGAGACTGATGCTCACAAAATTCCTGCCTCAAAATTCCTCTGTCTCAATTGAACAATATTTTGTTCCTCTGATAAATACGTCCTTTAGAATCGTATCAGAGGAATCAAAGCTCCTGAGCAAATTGCCTGTTCCTTAGCAGTGCCACAAAATTAGCATTCTCTGAAATACAATCTTTATACCTGAAAAGATGAAGATGGAAAGACCATTCTCTGTGGACACTACACACTCCCAATAATTTTCTCATACCTGTTTTGGACTGCACAGCTGCTTAAAACAAATTATTGTGATCTTATTCCTTTTCCATTTTCTCATAATTTAGGAAACAAATGATAGTCAACTGACCACATGCTATGAAAGATGCTTCTTGGCTTTGCTTTCACCGGCTTGAAAAGACAAAGCTCTGTATCTGTCAATGGCAGAGCTTCCCAATATTGCTTCCTGATAGAATGGCGGGCAGTAGCTGCAGTGGACTCCAGCTGTCATGCTAGTCACCTCCGCTGTCTTTCGGAGTTGTTAAATTGCTACCTAGACCATACAGAATCTCAAGATCTCATGTGCACAGAGTGGTTTTGACCAACGATCTCCGTCTTCAGCAATTCCAATGAAGGGGAATTCTAACTGAAAACTATTTGCTGTGTACTTACCAAGTTGTTAACTGTTTTCCTCTCTCAGATTTTAAAGTTTAGTTGAATCACAGTAACAAGAAAATGTAGAGAAGAAGCCTAATCTGACAGTATGTAAAAAAGAGGGGAAATATTTCAACATACTGAGGATTCAACAACTGCCTGGTTTCAGGGAAAAGCATGGACAGGAGCACATTAAGTAGAAGAGTCTGATTTCAAAGTTTTCTTACATTAATCAAAATAACTTATAACTATGTTCGAAGTTAAGAACTACTCTTCTACTTTTAGCATATTCCAATTATGGTTTGATTTCTGATGGCAGCAAAATGAGCTTTTCAAGTAGAATCCATTATTCTGTTCTTCCCACCAGATAATTCGTGCTAGGTGCTGCCTGCAACTTATCATCAATCAACAAAAATGTCAACAGAGTGGCAGGATTAACGATGTTCTACAGAATCAGCAGTTCTACGTTACTGGTTTGTCCCAGAAGGCCATGACTGTACATAGAATTGCTCCATAAGAAGCACATAAGCATCACTTGGTTTTGGGCTGCCGTTTTTCCAAAACTGTCCCAACTCATCAAGGACAAAACACTTGAAGAGTAATTCCCCTTCCTCCTCTAGGTAGCTCCTAGAAACAAATCAGTCATGCTATTCAAGAGCAAGTAAAGGGTGTTCTTGCTGTAGATGAAAGATAAACGCACACTCTTACAACACTTCATCTAGAAGCACTAAAGCTAGAGATAGAGAAAAGCTTTTATCACAGTTATTTCACTACTGGTGCTGTATGCATCAGATGCGACTTTAAAGGTTCAACTGATCTCAGATTAAAAAAATATCTAATTTCATAAGTTTGTCTTTACCTGTAATAAACCAGTTTAATACAATATTCCTACTAAAAGAATATTGAAGTGTCTTTTTTTTCAGTTTGACATTGTTCAACAACATATATGTACACATTTATTTATTTATGTGAGCATTTCTCAATTTTGACAATAGAATTGCAATAGCAATTGTATACCTTTAAAACCAGACAGGACACTAATAAAAATATGCTTCATTTCTAGATTAAATTTGTCCAGCCTGTATTTCTCACAACCGAATCTTCTTACGTTTGTTTCCTATAGTGAAGGGCCACGGAGCCATGCACGTGCAACCTCTGCAGAATTCCCACTCTGACAGGGAAGATTTGTGACAGGCCACTGTGCTGAACCATCTACCCGACATTCCAGAGCTAATCTTCAATTTCTAGTTGACAAAAACAAACATTTCTAAGAAGTTTCCACAGATACTATAAACCTGTCAACTGCTATTTCTGATCAGAGACATAACCATTGTTTGTGAAGTCCGTTCAGGAATGGCTGAGCGGAAAAAACATATTTATGTATTACACTTACTACCCACTGCAGTGGAAAAATGCTAACTTTTATTTTAATCAACAATACAGACATTTCCACATTATAAGCAACTCAGCTCTACCAGACTCCAAATAAAGAAGTAATTTTACCAGGTTAAAAAGAAGTAACTATGATAACAGCTATAACAGAGCCGTTTTATCCAAAACATGGAAAGTTTGAACACAAACATTTAAAGACATTCTGCAATATATTTATTTGGATACAATTCAAAGGGTCCCAAAATATCCTTTTCCACCACTCAATACTTAGCTGTTTAGAGAATAAGCTTTTTTAGATTTATTAAGGTCATCTTCAAAAGGTAGTTAGCAGTACTATACGCAACAGAAGAGTAAGAAGTTCAAGCTACAAAAATATACCTGTAAAATCATAATAGAAAAATATTTTCCACACGACATTTAAATTAACTGGATTAATGGCAAAAAAAAATTTACTTGATTACTAAATCAAAATTGGAGCTCTCATAATTCAATATTCTTGATTACTTCTAGTCTTGTTAAAAAAATTAAGTAGGTCAAGGGAGGGGAAAAATGAGACAAACCTGAAGAACTACTCAGTTAGAACCCTTGACCTTAAAGCCATATGCACTTTTCTCCTTACCTCCAGCAGAAGGGATAGCTGTGCTTAAAACTGCTGCTGTGAATCAGTCTGCCTTTCTCTTTCAGTAATTTAATAATGTTCTTATCTGCATCCTAAAAAGATAGAACAAAAAAAATTCCTTGGAATACAAACTTCACTACTTCAGTAAGCTACTACAGGATTTGTCTTCAAAACCCAAATTAAGAAAATCGCTATAAATAACCCAGTATTTACATGCACCAAAAAAATCCCAAAAGCTTCTATATAGTTTATGCATTTACTGCAGAGGCACTGTAAAACACTAAATTTGGAAAGTTATTTGCTCTCCAAATCCTGGTATACAGCATCAGTCTCTTTCTGCCTTCAAGTCTGTTTCCACATACACACAAACTGTACACAAATTCAAATTTTCTGTCAGACTAATACAAGCCAGAACTCATATTATTTAATATCTTAAATCTTTTATTGAGCCTTCTGATTCTGTGGCAGGAAGCCACATAGTGCTTCTTACCTAATATTTAGCCTTCATTACAACTCATTTCTCTAATTTGGCTACAGTTACATTCGTTGAAAAATCTTTTATAATACTTTACTAACTAAACAGGATTTACATTCTAAGCTGGAAGTGAAAGTTAAATATTAATAATAAAAGACAATCTACTGAGCAATCAAGTGTCAACATGACATTAAGAAAGGAAAAACAATACACAAAGATTTATGTTACAGCCAACTTCATAAGTGAAAAATTCAGCATTTTAAGAATATTTTCCAAGAGCCTTACCAATTTGTTTTCTTAGCACATGGAATTAAAGAGGCACTCCTTTCTATAGATTTGTGTCTTTAGCCATCTGGAGTTCCCGTGGGTTCCTTTCACATGGATTCTCTTGCCTGTATTGGCAAGTGAATTCACATTGCAACACATCCCACAAGCGGGGAAAATGACTGGATTTCTCTCCTCTAACAAGTCGTGTTGCACTAACAGGCTGGTATAACCTTAAGGACGACATCTGTGAATTCAGGAGTCATCCAGAGGTAAGGAGGCCTCTGCACACTTGCTTAGAGGCAGCTTGCATAACATTTCCATAAGAAACAAGGCAAAAGTGCTTGTAAGAAAAACAACCTAAAACAAGCCTTTCTGCAGGAGACGCAAAGAGGAGCTGCTCCTCTTCCCTTCCATTATTAGATACACAGCATTACTTACGTTTCAAAGTCTCTTTATTTTTCAGACATTGTAATAAAAAAATTGCAACATTGTTGCAAATGTTAAAACACACTTTTCTTTTTCCAGCTACCAAAAGACACATTGAAGACAAAGCCATTTAGGTCAAGAAAAGAACTTCTGCCATATATAAAATTTACCTTGAATAGAGTAGTAATTTACTTTCTCCACGACCACTAACCTTCACATACTGTCCAGTAAAATCAGTCACTTCTGCTGTGAAGCGGCCTGACGCGTCGACAGGACAAACGGGCACAGAATCTTTCTGAATAATATTAAAATCCATGCAGACCCTGTAATCATCCTGCAAAAAAGACAAGTGCCAAGTTACAGAAATACAACATACTTGTTAAAATATCCATCCCTGGAAAAGGAAATTAAATATTAAATAGAAAATGTGATATATGGACAAGAACAGCAAAACACCAGCCTTCACTAATCGCAAATATGTGTAGGAAAATATGTGTTTTACAGGATCGTACTTTTATTTATCACAGAAATGATGGTATCTTCAGAATAAGTGTTTTCTCTTACCTAGTAGGGGGGATATGAGCATGGGCTTCTGTGCATACACATATACACACACATTTTATGTGGGTCCATACACACACGTAGTCAACAGCCCCAGGCTGGTATTGCACAGCAAACGAACTGACAACCACTATGCCAGGCTGTTGTACCAGCCAGAGACTTGTACCTGTTTAACACACAAGTCTGCACAGCATTTTTCAGTAGGCAGAGTGTTTTAATCTAATTCCAGAACTCCACACAAGAAATCTCATTTTCTGAGTGTTTTAATGATCTAAAACCGTCAAATCTGTTTCTCAATCTTTGTTGGCCCTTAGGCAACGCTACTGACCAAGCACCACACATGGACATCAGAGTTCATTTTGCTGGCCAGCCTCCTTTTAAATTTTTGATTTCCTGTAGCAGTAAAGGGGGGACAGGCAGAACTTAAGGAAAATAGGGTCAGTTCAGACTTTTAATGAACATAATTAAACAATGGTATCATAAAAAAAGAGCAAAAGAAAATTATTACACAAATAGGAAAATTCAGATTTTAATTTCAAGTCTGAAGTCAAAGTAAGTCCATATCTTCACCAATTATCACTCCAGATGACCAACTTTCTTGCCCTAAGGCAAGAGATTGCAAGAGAAAGCAAGAGAAAATGAGATTTCTTGTGTGGAGTTCTGGAATTAGATTAAAACACTCTGCCTACTGAAAAATGCTGTGCAGACTTGTGTGTTAAACAGGTACAAGTCTCTGGCTGGTACAACAGCCTGGCATAGTGGTTGTCAGTTCGTTTGCTGTGCAATACCAGCCTGGGGCTGTTGACTACGTGTGTGTATGGACCCACATAAAATGTGTGTGTATACGTGTATTCTTGCCCTAAGGCAAGAGAACATTACTGAGGGTGGAAGGGGAACAAAGAAGGGGACAGTTGCAGATTAGTCGCTCTCAGTACACTCAGAGAATCATCCCATTTTCCTCAAAGAGCAAGACCCTGTCTAAGTCTGCACCAAGTCAGGTTGCTTTTTGAGTCGTAGTGGTTCCTGCCTTGCTGCTCTGATGAAACAGGGGAAGCCATAGACTTCAGGGATCAAAAACTGCTGTGTAGTGTGAAACAGAATCTGCAGCGACCCTGCCCACCAAAACTGGCAGCAGTTGAACTGTTACCCTCCTCTGTGCTTAGAGTTCATCCACCTTTCGTGAAACAAGCACACAGCAGCTATTTCATAGGAGTTGCACTCTAAAGCAATTTGTCCGCCTTGATCAAGGAGACCACACCAGAAGACAGTGTGTAAATAAGCAAGTGCTCCATAGCTAGCTGAATTTTCCTTTCCTAGATATAAACAATACTGGCGAGCCAACTTTGGAGCGACTGAGCAGGGTTTCCAGGTCCTTTCTGTGGTCCTTGACCTGTACCTCCAACCCTACCCACTAGACCCTGTAGCTACCAGCTCCCTCAAGCCAGATCTGGCAGATGTTGCCTGTTGATCCAGATTGTATATTTTACAACGATGAAACTCTTCCACAGCGACAGTGAAGTTGGCTACTTCACGTACCAAGGCATCACACGTAGAAATGAAAAACCACTTCAGCTACAGCACTCATTTACTCTAGACCTTAGTCTCGTTCCACTCTCCAGCAGCTGCAGACAGACATCGCGATTATTCAGCCTCCACTTGCTCAACCAGCTTCTTCAGTCAATAGATTAACTGAGATAAGCCCATTCTCAGTTGACCTTTCATCAGCTATTATTGCTGAGATACAGCAAGCAGACTGCAGTGTTTAAAATGTAGGCCAGATGACAGAACTAACGTCAACCCCGATTTGGCACCGAATTGTAAAAGGCTTTGAAGAAGCAGCCAGTGAAGACTACAAAGCTTGGCACGCTGACAACCTATCTAAAACATAATAACAAACCTTCCACTTCACAGGACCAAGGTCAAGAGGTGGTTCAGTTCGATTTGCATCGCTGATGCAGCCATGAAATATAAAGAGCTCAGCTATTTTTGTTTTCTACAGTTAGTTCTTTTCTTTTGAAGAGCTCAAACTTGAACGTAAAAGCTTTCCAGACTGACCTGCCATTTGATTTAATGAAGATTTGCTCCAGTAACCACAACCCAAGAATATATTCAGGCACATACAGAAATCCACAAACACTAAGCTCTACTGGAAAGCTAAGACAAATTGCAATTCTTTCCAGGAGAGAAATCATAGTGCTCACTCTTCTACCTCTACCACGATTAGATCTCTCAAAAGATTACCAAAAAATTAAAAAACAAGCACAAAAAGAACGAAGCAGAAGATATCAAATAGCTCATTAATGCTAATTCAATGTTTTCCTATCCAAAAGTTTAAAAACAATGCCCAAAAAAAACCAACAAAAACATCAAGTCAAAAGGTTCACCTTCAACACCTCTTAACAAAAATCAAGTACGCTTTTGCAATTTACTGAAAAGAAAGTGCAACAGCAAGATGTCCAAGAAACTCCTGTGACTCTGTCTGAGCAGGCACTGAAAGTACAGGGCTTGTAGGCAAATTAAAATGTTACTGAAGCTTTTTAGGTTGACTGTAGGTATATCTACATATGATGAAGTGCCTGAGCAGCTGAATTTTAGTGTCATGTTAATCTGGAGGTATAATGAGTTTACAGAGTTTTTATTACAGGTTTGTCTTGTTCTGGGAGCTTTCATTTTGATTTCTTTTGAACTGAAATAACAGAGTGCTCTGATATTGTGTGGCAGCTTGTATTTGGCAAAAGCATCACACAACAATGAAATTAGAAATCCTGGAACTAAATGAAGGTGAATTTTTACTTTAAGTTTTGTTGGAGAAGGATACATTTCTAAGCTATCAGCAATACAGAATATGTATCAGTAACTAGAATTAAAAAAAAAAAAAACACCACCAAACAACAACAATTTACTTTCCACCCCTATTTATCAAAGAGATTTACATATATTGACATGAGATATGACACTTTCTGTGAAGGACTGTGCTCCTTTTCATCTCTTCTGACCTCCTGCTCCACTTAATCCTTTCCTCTTTCCTATTCACCTTCAACACAACAGTAAAGGAATTTGCAGAGAAGCCAAATAATTAGGAAGACAGTCATGCCTACCATCATGAGTTATCTCCCTTCTTTCATCTAAGCACGTAAACATTTAATGCCAACACATGTAACACTCAGTATTCTACAGAGCCTACTGTACAATGATGAGTTGCTGAACCTAAACCAGAACACATTCTGAACAAAAATTATCAGAGGGCTGTCAAAAGTGAGCGACCTGCACCCCAAAAGAAAAAGGTAGCAGCATTACGTGCAACATACGCAATGCAATTTCCATCTGAAGGTAGCACATCCAGTTGACTCAGGTCTATGCATCATGCATCATAAGTAAAGCCAAGCTGCTCCTTAGCTAACAAGTGCCAAGTTTTGTTTGTGATGCTAGTTTTCCTCACACAAATATTTTATGCATGTTTTTTTCTTAGCAATGCATTTAACTGACACTCTCATGATGTTGTGGGGTTTTTTTTCGGGTTTTTGTTTGGTTGTTGTTTTTTTTTTTCCTTTAAATGGTTTTAAAGATAATTGCTGACTTCCCAGGAAAGAGAAACAACAGATTTCTTTTTACTCTGTGTTTACACAAATCTTTGTGGACTTATAACAAAACCAAATAAAAGAGAGCACATAATCCTTGCTCTACCCGGCCAGACACACTTTCCAACAACTAAACTGTATTGTGCAAGTAGACAACAAACCAACACAGCAACGAACAGAAAGTTTCTTCCACAGCTCCTTCTCTATTAGCAGCCTGTTCACTTCCTCTACTCCATCTCCTACAGCAAGAGCTCCTGCCTCAAAACCAAGTCTGCTCCCTCACCCCTCAGTCAAGTCCTTCAACATTTAGCTCTAGGGGAATATCTGAGGTGCAAGTAGTGGGACAGGCTTTAGACTCCTTAAGACACCTTACCAGTCACCATTGATTTCTTTATTAACTAATAACATACAGCCCAGTCTGATTCTCTTTATTCACAGCTGTATAAAGCTGGGACATCTTTTCACATAAATGCTCATCTTGACAACGGAAACACCACCACAATGGATGCATCCCTCAGAAAAATGCAGGAAAAAAAAGCCAGAAAAGGATGGGATGTTTCACAGGAATACAAAGAGGCCTATTACTAATGCCAACACTTTCTGAAAATTGTGATAGAGCTTGAGGTCAAGGGATTGCTAATTGCTGGGCATTGGCAGCTCGATTGCAAGTTTTTTGAGGGCATCTATGGATAACAGCTGAAGACAGGACACTATACAAAAAGGACAATGAGTTTAAACTACTGCATTTAATTCATGTGTTTAAAAACTGAAGTGATGAAACCCGTGAAAAATTATCCCTCTTAATCTTCAGAAGAATAGACTAAGGGAAAGGATAATAAAGACAAAAAAAAAAAATAGTGTGCAACAAAATCCTTTTACAGTGAGGGGTAAAGTCTCAGTACAAAAGCAGTCAAAGCACTTTTCCTTCTCTAAAAGCCCAATGAGTAATGAAATTGAAATGCTGAAGAGGGGCGGTGTGCCCGGCAGAACTGCTGCTGCCATTCAAAGTCATCATTTCTCAAAGCCAGTTTCGATTATCAGTGCAACAGATCATTTCTTCTCGAAACTGTAAATTTAGACTTTGAGAAAATCTAAGATCAGTGGCACACAGAAGATACAGTGATGAGTTCACTTGACATACCACAGCAATAGCCAAACTAAGGGACACCTAAAGTCTCCAGTCTAGCACACAAAGAGCACTAGTGAGTGCAAGAACTCATTAGAATACAATGCTACATTGTATTCTCTATATTTGTAAGTAGCAAATGGGAGTATTTCTATCCTAGTCACTCTGACAGTCCCCAGGAGCTGGAAAGCCAAGCAGTGTACATTGGAACAAAATGAACGTAACAGATGTGGTTCATACTCACAGCACCAAAATAGGGGGCCTGATGTACAACACCTGTGCCTTCTTCCTCCTTCACGTAACTGTCTACTACCACAGCAAAGGCACCTTTATCTTTGCACTGCAACACAAATACATGTTTTTCAGATACATATAGATTAACACCAAATTCTTAACAACATAGACGAGACACTAGCCACCTGCATCAAAAGTAAGCGACAAAGTAAAATGTGACATTCCTAAGATTATTTAATCATTTCCCATAGCTAAGACACCCAGGTGGTATACTTCATTGAAACAGTGTGAAATGCAATTAAATCCAAGACTTCTCCAGAAGGTCTCATAGTCAATTACTCTTCAAACCACAGATCTTCACACAGGTCTGTGCTTAACAGACCACAAATCAATACACTCCTCCAAGCGAGGATACAACCAAGAAAGCTACAGGGATTCTATACAGAGAAGTCTTCTCGCACCTCTGTATGTTGAATTTACCATCTGATTCTGAAAAAAGATGTTTGCTTTTATAGTAATATATTTTCTTTATTTCCTCCAGAGAATGAGAAGATGGTAAGAATCAAGGGGGGGGGGGGGGGAAGGAAAAAATTGCCAAGAAAAGATCTGACAATTTGCATTGTGTTCAGTATGTAGATAATGAAAAATAAAGAGCTGTTTTGTATTTCTTAATACAGAAGTAATTAAAAAAAAAAATCACTGCAGTCACAGCTGAACCAAATATATTACACAATATTAGGTTTGGCTTGTTCTGAAGAGGGATATCTCAAGATAAGACACCCATTCTTAAAAAAGCAGTAGATGCCCATCTGCTCCTTAGAAGTACAGCAGAACTCAAAAAAATATATCCGTTCCAAACGTTTACACCTGCAGTCCTGTTTTTTAAATTCAGCTGTGTTGGACCTTTCTCAAGAAATAACAGGTCCTGCTCCCTACAAAGGTTTCCTCACCTTTGCTGACTTCAGCACACGCTTCAGAACAGATGGTAGTCACAAATGACCCAATCCCTCACATGAGGTAACAGCTGCTTGTCCAGCAGTACTGTAATCCACTTCAACTCTTTGAAAAATTTAATCAGAATTATTTTCTTTTAAACATACAAATTCTCTACTCCCTTTCTTATTGCTATACATTCCATTACCATCTGTGGTGCTATTAACTACACTAGACTTACTCAGTGCTCTCATGCTGCACAGGTGGACATCCATAAAATCCAGATGTATCAGTAGTTATTTTAGCAAAAGCTTTTAACTCTTCAGTTAAAAACACTGATTGCAGGTAACAATCAAACATGTAGAGTCATTCTCTTATGAATACAAAATTTGTGGACTTAATAGGCAGACGACAGAAGCTCTCCAGATGAAAAGTTAAGAGAACATTGCCTATTTATTCACGCGTATTGGAAGTTTCTCCGCAATCTGAAGTCAAACTACTATTTATCACTGAGTTCTTACTCTGGCTGTATTTGAAACTTGAGAAAAAAAATACAGAAAAAAGTCAACTTTCTGTTTTTCAACCTTTCACTAGGATTTTGAACTACTATAAAACAACATGGGGTTTATTACTAGGACAGAAGATTTTTATAACGTGAACAAGGAATACTGAGCATGGTTTTTACTTTTGTCTTTGTATCCTGTATAAAACACCAAAAACTTGCTCATCTTACCTGAATAAAATAATCAAAGAGTGGTTTATATTTCTTGCCTTTAAGAGCAATGCCAGGAAACCTGAGGATAAAGATTTACATGAACACAAATTAACAACTTGAAATTGCTTTTTATTTTTTATTATTTCCTTTTTGCCCACCCCTAACAGAATTGGACTTTATAAGGTGAGGAAAAGAGTATTTTCTCAGTAGTTTGCTTCCCATTTCTACATCTCTTCGGCAATTCGGACTTGGACAAAAACTGGAGCGTGTCTTAATTTAATTTATCTCTGCTAACAGTCAATAGGTACGCTTGTACCTGATGGTCTTTCAGTAAGGAATCACTGAAAATTAATGTAGGAACAAAGCATTAATAACAATCTACTTCTGGTAAAGCTGGGCAAGGAGCTTATAGATAAAATTTCCATTTCATATTCATAAAAAAGTCCTGTAGCTCAGCATGTTCAACAGAACTAAAGCCTTGATCCAAGCCACCTAGAAGTTACATGCACAGCAGATTCTGATACAGGGTACTGCAGCGTTTAAAAGCTTGGATGCCTCATTCCTTATTCAAAAACTAGGGATCCAAGCTCTCCATGGGCATCTGAGAGAAATATCTAAACACAGACAGGACTGAACCAACTGAGGAACCAACTGAGCCAGGCAAGAACTGTAAGACAAAGAGCCTGTAGATCTGGCTCTCTTCAGACTTCTGATCACAGTCAAAGACGGTGATTAAGTTGAGATTCACTGATCAGAACTTTCCTGAAAGCACTTAAATCTTCCATTTCAGAAAAAAGTCTAGTTATAATACAACTTCATTTAATAGATGCAATACCTCTCTGAATGTGCCACAGCTGTGGTCTTTCCCTACACTCTTCTTGATCCACTCTTCCAAAACAATGGTCAAACCATAATACATTTGACTACTTCAAAGCGGGGAACTCTTCAAAGCTGTTCTGTTGCACAAAAAGGAACTCAAGCAGTATTTAATACCAAGTTACAGAGCATGACGACTCAGCCCAGCATATATAATATCCACTAGGAAAAGGGGAGACTTCTATTTTAAGCCACAGCTTCGTGAACGGTTTACATATTTTATATTATAAACAACCTTAGGAATGTTTGAGGTGCTTAATCGGAATCAGACAAGAGAAAAGCATCTCAGTGCTCAGCCACACAGATGTGGGAATGCTCAGACACAGAACACGAAGCCCTAGAACTGGCTTAAAAAAAAAGTAGTTAAATTCTTATTTAAAGCAAGTAAGTGAGAGCTAGGGTTGCAGATCACAATCCTGATTTTCTCTTTTGATATCTGAAGTACTTTGTTTATCAAAGTCCTGAACTTCAGGCTGAAGGTGTACACAGTTCTGCCTTCTTACTGTCATTGTAGTAACAGACTCGTTTAAAATCATTATAGTAATCCTTCACTCTCAAGAGACCAGAAGTCTCTTTTCTGGATTCCTTACAATCCAAAAAGAGACAACAGTGGAAAATAGTGTAAAGAAATTAAGTGTTTAATATGCAAATAGACTGAAATGTAATACAAAGGGAAGAAAATGCTCATCAATCATTTCATATCTACCACTGCTAACTAAAACAAAAGCCACTCGATGGCCAGAAGTAGGGTAATAGACCAAGATCAATCAATTTGTGCAAAGCAGCAGAGTCTTCTGATAAAGATGGTAGCCATCTCATCAGTGAAAACACAGAACTAGAATTCCTATTTGCTCTCACGCAAAAACCCATCATCTTAATCTGGGAGGAAAAGGGAGAGAAAAGTCAGGTGTGGGGAGGGTGAAGGAGTAAAGGCTGAGTACTCAGGAATGTCAGAGTATTCAAATACAGAAAATTTTCAGTAGGATCATTCCTTGACCTCAGTCTGCCACCTGGTATAGAACAAGTGTCATGAATTTCTCCCTCAAGGGCCTAACTGCCAGAGAATACACGAGTGATCTAAAGAAAGAAGTGAAGAGTAGAAATAAGAAAGATAATTTCCATCAACTTACATAATCATAGATCTAAATCTTTAAAAGATCCATTCAACTATCAGCTACCTCTTAATTGTCTCCCATTTCACATTTGAGACGAATAATTTATTACATAACATAAAAATTGGGAGTATGACCAAAAAAAAGTCAACTTGAGAAGACTATAGCACTAATGCAGAAAGAAAAAAAACCCACACCTCTCTGCAAGGAGAATAAAAATTGCTAGCAGCCTTATGTATGGGGGGAAAAAAAAAAAAAAGAAAAATTAGGGGGGAAAAAAAATTAGAAGTACAACTAGCCAGGGACATAAGCAAAGACAATCAAAACCTGTGAACGATTGTCTTAAAGAGTAGGTACTTTAGAGTTCTGAAGAAAACACCACACCAAAAAAAGGCTGAAACGTTCAGGGCATTCCTTGATACAGAATGACTGCAACCAGATTGAAATTAAATTTGTAGTATTTCCATTAAAAGAAGAATTTGGAACCTAAAAGACAATACATCTACCTTGCTTTTTTTTTTTAAGTCTAAAGAAAACGCATCAGAAAATATTTAAGAAAATAGAGTGGGCTTGGTAGAAGGCTTCGTTTTTAGACACACTGAAGAGGTTTCAAAAGACTGGAAAGGAACACGGTACCTATACTTCAAGAGAGAAACAGAGTCCTGAGGGACCTAAAAACCAGTCAGACTAGCATAACAGCCTGACTCAACTGTAAGAGATTGAAGAGGTTTTTAAAAGTGAAGTGCTAAAGAACACACAATAGGAATTTGTCAAGAGTAAGTCCCACCAAGCCAAATTACTTCTTTTTCAGCAGACTAACTAGCTTAGCAAGATTTAAGTCCTAAGGTTAGTAAGACTTTTGACACTTGGACACATCATTCTGACACACAAAATATTTTACCTGGATGACTGTACGTTTACATGGACACACAACCACTTCAAGAAAAAAGTCATTGTTAAGTCAGTATCAGACCGAAAGAAAATTTTCAGTGGTATCCTGACAGAGACTATCTGACACTACTTAATGGTTTTACTGACTCTGAAGGGAGGAAGAGAGTCTGGAGATGAGAACTTCTGTCAATCCTGAAGAACGAGAGCATCTGAATATCATCTTTATAAATGGAATATCAGCTGAAATTGCTACAGAGTAAGTGATAAATGAAGAGAATTCAGCTGGGGGTAGGAGAAGAAATCAATGCAGAAATACAAAATAAGAATTACTCAGTTGTCATAGTATGAGGCAAATTAGACAACATCTTAAGCAAATGTTGCAGCACT